CATGGTATAGTTAAACATATGCGTGCGTTTGCTTCTCTCTTTCTCTCTCACACACACACATGCTCTCTCTCTCTCTCTCTCTCTCACACACACACACACACACACACACACGTATGTACAAGTCAATCTACAACTACATGCAGTCTCTCGGATCGGATTAAAATTACTCCAAAAATAACCTTATCTGCCAGACCATCTGCAATTACATATACTAGTTCCACGACCTTTCTCGAATCATTACGCTCCCCACGGACCATAATTATCCATTTTCCTTATCTTTTGCTTCCAATCCATCTTCGACCTTCCTATTCCAAACTATATTGTTAATTTGCTTCTTTCTGTCTATTTTTTATGATTTGGGATTGACCACAAAGCAGAAGTTTCATTTAAATAATTTAGCCAAAGGCTGTTGCTTTATTTATTTATTTATTTTTAAGAGTAAATATAAGTGACGTTATGGATTCATTTATATATTCAAATTATCAGGATTAACGAAAATCTTTAGCGGAGTGAACCTTTTATGTGGTATTCTCCTTTCCCCAAAACGAGTATTTAGTAAGAAGTAGAGTGATATTTTTAATCGAATTCATCCCAAGTAAAGCAGTAATGCCACTAAGATACAAGGGTTATTAGATGTGGAAGAGTGAGAAATCAGAAACATTACTAAGGCGTGAGAACAATAGAAGAGTAATCGAAAAGACAGAAGACAGCGATCGACATTGCATTTAAACTTTTGAAGACTAAAGTTGACTGGAAATCATAGAGCCGATTGAGAGTTCCACAAGCGAGAAGTGCGAGAAAATAAACTGTTAACATAGAACTTACGATTACATCTAGCCAACTGAACGGTAAATTGGTGAGACCCCGTCGGCAGTCTGGTGAAGAGCTGATGCGAACAATTAACATTAACGTACTTATAGAAAAGGCACGGGGAAGCAACTGTACGGCGATGGAAAAATGACTAAGCTGAGATGTCAGGCCAGGAGCAATAATATTGCTGATTCTTCTTTGTATTTTATCAAGAAATTTCTAAATATATAGCAGGAGGACCGGACTATATGTGGCAGCAATATTCTAAGCATGGGCGAATAGTAAATCTATAAATATGTAAGATGGACTCTAGAGAGAAAAAAATGTCTAGCACGAACCAAGGAATTGATTGATTTCTACTTCAAGTAAACTGAGAATGTTAGCCCGAGACGGTGCAACGAGTCACTCTTCTGGAGGTTAGCATCAGCCATGCTGATAAAGAGCAGAAAGGGATTTCTCAGATGATTAATAGAGAGCAGAAAAGGATTTCTCAGATGATTAATAGAGAGCAGTTGATATTAGAATGGTTGCATGAGATGCTTTCTCGAATAGGTAATAGGAATTAAATTAAAAACAATATTGTACAATTAACATTTCTTTGCCGAAAATGTTTAACCTTCGTGTCTGCAAAAAAAAAGGACGGTTATTCCCGTGATACCGCTATTACTGTATGAACGTTTGACTCCCTCTGTAATATTTATTGTTTTAAAAAACGGTACTGGATTTATACATGTTCTTGAAAATTGACAAAGATATTAAATACTGTTTATGCGTTAGATTTCTTATTTATAAGAATAGTTTTATACTTACAAGATTATAAAATATGTGAGCCTATTGGTTATATCCATCCTCTACTACGGGTGTGAGACTTGGACACTCCTGGTTGTGGCACGAAAAAAGGGCCAGGCGTTCGAGAACAAATGTTTGAGAATGCTCCCCGCGACTCCTACTAGGAGCATAAAATCAATGACTATGTACGGAGTGAGGTCTAAAGTCCCGCAGGCCATCAGAAATCTTTCCTCGCCACTATTAATCATCGGAAGATGTCACGGTTTGGCCTCGTCACACGGCTTAACAACCTCTGCAAGACCATCAACAACACTGTTGAAGCCAGATGAAAGCGAGGACGCTGACGCAAAAAGCCGGTCAGACAACATCAACGAGTGGACGGACAATACAATGCCGGAACACCTGAGAGCCACCGCCAACGGATCATCCTGTAGGAGATTGTCTGTTTCTTCTGACCTTAGGCCACCCCGGTGAATGAAGCAGTCAAGGGACTGATGATGATGATGATGATGATGATGATATACCTACTATGATGTAATATTTATATTTACCATTTTATAAAGAAATAAATGAGAAAAGAAATTTTTATTCATCTTACTTATTATAAAACGCAGATTGTGTGTGTGCGTGTGTCTGTACGTTTATATATTGGATCGGATTTCCTACATTTTTCAAACGATTTCAACAAAACTTCACAGGACTGTGTAAAATTACCTTGCGGTGGTTCTGACAGCACCAAAAATTGGAAAAACACAATTGTTATTGCACGAAATCAATTTGAAAACACGATAAAACACGATTCTGTCGCCAGAATAAAAGGGGGACAACTCATATCAAGTTATACTTATTATAAAACCCATATTGTTTGTGTGTGTGTTCGTTTATATATGGGATCGGATTTCCTACATTTTTCAACCGATTTCAACAAAACTTCACTTTTTTTTTTGGCAGGTAGTGTTTCTTATTGTCTGCACACTTTTTTTTTTCTTTATTTTTACATTCAGAATGCTTTAAAATTCCATTTACAAGACAATTGTTTATAATAAAATTTATTTAATCGGTAGACTCATAACGATTGAAAACAATGTTTTTGTTTGAGTTTGGGTTTGACCAATTTGTAAAAAAAAAAAAAGACATGCGTGTCCGTCAACCTTAAACAATAATCTTTTATTTAATTTTATTTTTCAGTCTTTATGATGGTCGATACTTGATCTATCTCTTACTGTTACATCCCCGGGCAACGCCGGGCTCTACTGCTAGTAAATTTATAAATATGTCTGCGAACAAGACAATTTAAAGCACATAATGACAAATAACTGTAATTATAAATTTCTAATAAATGCATTTTCCGGTTATTTCTTATTCAGTCATTTGCTCTCGACACATGAATTCACTAAAACTGTTTTTATATAGTTATTTATGAAATAGCAAGTAATATTGCATTGTAGTTGGTTTACATATTTTGATATTTTTGTAATTTTTAATAATTTTTTAAATTTATTATTAGAAGCCACATTATTAACAACATAAGATATGCAGGCGACACAGTATTGATTTTTTTTTATGTTCCATGTCCTTTCAGGACGTAGACAATTATGGCTCTCTACTTCCCTCTATCCCTCGCAGCTCCCAACAAGTTCCTTCCCCCTGTATCCTTCCTCAGATCACGTTCTGTCATCCACATGCTTAAGCCCTCCAGGTATGTCACGAGCTCTTTTCCCTTGTCTCTCTTTCCCTCTATTCGACCCGTGAGTATCAGATTCTCCAGGCCCTCCTTCATCATTGTGTGTCCCAGAAACTTCAGCTGCCTCTTCCTAATGTTAAGTATAAGCCTCCTCCTTGTTTGCAACCTCTCTAAGATTTTATCGTTGCTCACACGCTCGGTCCATGATATACATAGCATCCTTCTGTAGAACCACATCTCTGTCGCCTCGAGTCTCTTCTTCATCTTTGAGGAAATTGTCCAACATTCGCTGCCATAAAGAAGGATAGATGTCACGTTACATCTCAGTATTCTTTTCTTTGTTACCAAAGAGCAGACACATGTAGTGAAGGTAGTGAAGGAAAGCGAGAAGAAAGGACTAAACATAAACAGCAAGAATACAGAATGCATGGTCGTTAGTAAAAAGATGAGATCAAAATGCAAATTACAAATCGGAGATGCCAAAATCGAGCAAGCACAAAAATTAAAATATCTGGGAAGTGTTCTAACAGAGGACGAAAAGTGCGACAACGAAACCTGAAGACGTATTGGAATAGTGAAAGATGCATTCCAAAAGCTAAGCAGAGTATTAAGAGACAGAGAAACTTTGTTAGAAACAAAGAAAAGAGTACTGAACAGTTACATGATATCTGTCCTCCTGTATGGCAGAAAATGCTGGACAATCTCCTCAAAGATGAAGAATAGAAGAATAGCAACAGAAATGTGGTTCTGTAGAAGGATGCTGATGATAGCATGGAATGAACATATGAGCAACGACAGAGTTTTAGAGAAAATGGGAAAAAAAAAAGGAAAACTTATACTTATCAGAAAGAGACAGTTGAAATTTCTGGGGCACATAACGAGGAAGGAATACTTGAAAAATCTGATACTCACAGGACAGATTGGGGTGAGGGGGCAAGAGAGACAAGGAAAGATTGCGTATAACATACTTGATGAGCTTAAGTAAATGTATGAGGGAACAGGTTTTAGGAGAAATAATGAAAAGACAAAATTTATTAAGTGCTACAAAGGCCAGGAAAACTTACACTTGTCAGGAAAAGACAGTTGAAATTTCTGGGGCATGTAATGAGGAAGGAGGGCTTGGAAAATCTGATACTCACAGGACAGATTGAATGCAAGAGGGATAGAGGAAAACAGCGCGTAACATACTTGATGAGCTTAAATAGATGGCAGAATAGGGTTTAGGAGAAATAACGAAAAGACAAAATTTATTAAGAGCTAAAAAGGACAGGAAATTGTGGAGAGCTATGATCGCTTATGTTCTGAGGGGACACAGAAGCAGAAATAATAAATCTTTATAAAAGGTAAATAATAAATATCATATTGTAGTTGGTTCACATAAGAATATAAAAAGAGACAAATGGAAGTGCGTATGTAAAAATGTCATTATTCGAACGTGGTATCACGGATATGGTCTTTTCTACAAGGCGATTACAGAAAAGTGTTATTTGTAACCTCAATGGAATACTGAAAAGATGGCATGAACATTTTGACGAGTTACTGAATCGTCCGCCCACAGTGAATGAGGATTTTCTCAATAGCATTCCTAAAAGACCTGTTGAGGAAGAGATGATCGCTTCTCCGTCACTTAGCGAGACAGAAGCAGTTGTAAAAATAGCTGAATAATGGACGCTCACCTGGGTTGGCTGGTATATGAAGCGAGACCTAAAGCATGACAGGGGTTGAAACACCAGTTCCCGTACAATCACCGAAGTTAAGCAATGTCGAGCTTGGTCAGTACATAGACGGGTGACCGCTTGGGAATACCAGGTGCTATAAGCTTGGATGTGCAGATGATGTAATTGATAATGGCTCGGAATTGTTAATCGGAGAGCTGAGGTCGTTATATTCACTTACGTGCAAATACCCTTGGGAAAGGTATGGATTCACCTCTTCTCCCCCAGCTATGGATTAATTAGTTAGAGTTGTATAACTAAACAATTACTCTCTCCAACAACAAAAAATTCTTACAATCTAAAAATATTTTCTGGCTTTAAATAAACTGTACAGGGTTGATAAACCGTAGAAAACAAATTAATCAATCAATCATGGCGAGAAGAGGCACTGTGACTAAACGTATACATCTTGTATTACAATATTGTTGTGGAAAAGAATGTATTCCTGACGACTGGCGTGATGTAATTAATGGTATTACTTGCAAAGGTGTTCCTGGTGGTAAAGATATTTACGATAATTTAAGGGAAAATGAAATAAAAACCAATCGATAAAATAATAATAATGAATAAAAAAAATTAAAAGGAAATAATAATTTTCTCATGATGCTAGTAATAAAAGAACCGGAAATTTCATTACCCTACTTATTTTCGTTAAACAACCGTTAGGTGACATTGTTTAAATTCTATAAAAGGACAAATATTTCCTTCCTCTTTTTCTTGCTCCAAGATGTAACAGAACATGGGTGAGGCCGTTCCCACTGGGAAAGGCCTCTTTTCCCCGGTCGACTAATAACTAAATTCTTTTTACACTTTCCAACACAGCTTTCGGACGAGGTTTTGCAACTTTGAAGTACTTCAGTTGTTCCAACTCAGTGCAAAGCTGACTTGCCATCAACAATTTTAACCATTTTTATCGTTATCCTAACTTACTTCTGGACCAGAAAAAGGAAACGGACCTACCAAAGAGACATTGAAAACTTTCTTTCCTTACAGATACTATAAAAAAAACGAATAAACGGCCCGTAATAGAAATCCAAATTTTTGTTGCTTCTATATTAGTTGTTTATACGTGAACTCACACACCTAAAATACACCAACAGAACCTTTGAATTCTATAAACTACAGAGTTATTTCGTTTCTGTCTGTATTTGGTAAAATTTTACGTAGGATAATGTTGGACCGACTGCTCCAGCATATTTCTAATGACGTGCTTCAAGAATAGCATTGTGGCTTTTGAGCAAACCAGAGTACCACGGATATGATCTTTTCTGTAAGACAATTAGGAGAAAAGTGCGTGGAGTAAAGGATGGATTTGTTGATTTGGCAAACACATTTGATATAGCCAATAGGATTACTTTGTGGGAAATATTGGGTAAGCTTGGTTGCCCAGAATGATTTATTAACATGCTTCGATGTTTTCATGACAGAATGAAAGCGTGGGTAAATGTAGGCGGTAAGCTGTCTGAACCATTTGAAGTAAAGAATGGAGTAAAGCAGGGAGACATTCATGTTCCTACCCTATTTGCTCTTTGCTTTACAATGTTTTTTTACATGGCATTCAAGGAATGTGAGGATGGCCTATATATTATACAGTATCGCACGACTGGAAATCTATTTAATATCAGGAGAATGTTAGCTAAGACGATGATATATGTTAACCTTATACGAGACTTGTTGTATGAAGATTATTGCAAACTGAGGATGATATGCAACGCCTAATGGACGCTTTCGCCAGAGCTTGGACTGCTCTGGAACTTACTATGTCTAAAAAACTGTAGTTATGTATCAATCTTCACCGGGAAAGCCTTACATAGAACCAAATATCTTTGTATGAAATAGGCGTATATATTTATTCTTGATAAAATCCAAAGAAGAATCTGCAATGTTATTGGTCCTGACCTGGCATCTCGGCTTCAATCCCTTTCCCACCACCGTGCCGTAGATTCCCTATTCCTTTTCTATAAATACTTTCATGGTAATTGTTCTAATGAATTTCCTCTATGGTACCTAGACTTTATTAATTTAAGTGCAGTCCTAGATTGGAAATCTATTTAATATCAGGAGTTAGTTAAGACGATGATATCTGTTAACCTTATACGAGACTTGTATGCAGATGTTTGTGATCTTGTGTCTCAAACTGAGGATGATATGCAACGTCTAATAGACACTTTCACCATGCTTGAACTGTTCTGAGACTTACTATGTCTAAAAAAACTTGTAGTTATATATCAGTCTTCACCAGGAAAGTCTTATATATGTCTTTGTGTGAAATAATCGTATAAGCATGGTTAATGTTTATCTAACAAGAATATGTCTACTGAACAGTGAAGTTTCAAGCCGAATTCAAAAGGCTAGTAATGTATTCGGTACATTTGAACGGATTGTATATGTAAAATTTTATTAAAGACGTTGTGGTTTACATTCAAGATGAGTTCCTTATTGGTTTGATACAGTTATTAGCTTAGATGTTGTGTTTGCGACCGGTGGTTCGCTTGGAACCCAGAGGAGAAATGTGACACGTCTTGTCCCTACAGCATCTCGTGGGTAAAGAGAGAATGAAAATGAAAAAGAGTGGTTATTCTCTTTTTTTTTTTATACTGTTTTTTCAATAGCATCTAGTTGTCATTAGGATGAGTTCCTCTGGCCTGCCGTGAATCTTTTGATTATTATTATTAGCTTGATGAAAATTGTACATCTGTGAATTTTTACTCACTCGTCATGGAATTCTTATGCATCTACAAAAATCTTTTCGCCTTTGTCTTTGTGACAGATTTTATTTAACTTATTAAAATTAATTATATTTACAAACTACGTCAAAAATTAAAATTAAATGTAATCACTGACTACTAATCTAATCAAATTTTTTTTTCAATTCAGGAACAGGAAAGAGATAACTAAATTTTTAAACGCTTTCTTTTTTTTCTTCTTTTATTTCCTTTTCTTTTGCTATTACCTTCAGGTGGCTATGATCAGTCATGTTTCGTCTTCGGGCGAAACATGACATAATGAAACGCGATTCTTCCTGGGAATTCTAACCTTAAGGTAGCATCTCCCCCTTGCACTAAAAGGGAAAGCCGTGGATCGCCCTGACACCTTTATGGTTCTAACCGTAAGAATCGGGCATTTTTTCTGTCTCTACCTACACGTATACAATGCGGGCTTTGAGATGAAACTGGATTAGAGTCACATTTTGCCCGCGTCGGGTGGCAAATAAATGCAATCTCCGGCCTTTCTAGCTGGAAATTCAACAGAGCTGCAATTTGTTTCCGAAAATATAGATTTGGTATTAAGGCAAACATTTGTTAATTTCTCCGTTTTTCTCGGATAAATAATTATTTACATTATTACAATCAGACGATTGTTTTCATCTTTGTTGTTATTGCCATAACGTTTCGGCTGTTGTGCAATCCGGCTTTCTTCAGGAGTTTGTCGATCCAAGTAACCTTCAGGAGATTTTGAATATTTTTTTAATTTTATCTACGGGATAGATTGTTATAGTTTCGATGTCCATGTCTAGAAATGTTTCATTTTTTTCTTGTACTGTTTGTTATTGTTGGTCCTTTTTCCCTTAAGATTACCCAGATCACCTGATGAAAACCAGATAACAAAACAGCCGAAACGTTGTAATAATAACAAATAAAAATTTTATATTCTCTTCCTTTCCTTAAAATTTGAGTAGGTAAAAGTTCTCCTAGAGTTTGTTAAATATTAGGTTGTTCGGAAAATAATGTCCGATTTTAAAATCAAGATTTATTCCTGAATTCGTGTATTTAAACGATGTTTAAATCAGTCAAAACAGGAACCTTAAACATCTATACATTTCTGCCATCGAGTTATAAGGTTTGTTTTATGCCTTTACATTCAAAATCTAAAGGTTTGGACGCCAAGAAATCTTTTAATGCAGTTTCTGCATCTTTGCAACGTAACGAATCTTGGCTTAAAAAAAATGTCAAGATGCTTGAAAAAGTGGTAGTCAGTGAACGAGAAATCAGTGGTAATTTGGTGGATGTTACAAAGCCTCGTATCCCAAGTCGTTGAGCATCTGCAGTGCTACCCTAGAAATATGTGACCGAGCATTGTCATGAAGGAGAATTAGACTTCGTCGGTTAATCAGTTCGAGTCGCATTTTGCTTAAATGAAGGTGCATTTCATTCAGTTGCTGACAGTAAAGTTCGGCAGTGATTCTCTGGTTAGATTCCAGAAAGCTGTAATGGATAACGCCAATGGCGGACCACCAGACAATCACCATTCTGTTGGTGCAATTTCGGTTTGGGAAAATGTTTGGGTGCTTCCTCGTGATCAAACCATTCAGCCCATCTTTCACGATTGTCATAAAGGATCCATTTCTCATTACAAGTCACTATTAGTTCAAAAAATGAATTTTGCAGATGCAGTATCGAACACACTTCAAGACGTTGAACTCTTTGACTTTCACCGTGGAACCCATTTATCAAGTTCCTTCACCTTGCCAGTTTTCTTGATATGGTCCGATATTGTTGAAATGTTGACACTTTGATGTGGTTTTTATTCGATTATTATTTTCAGATGTTGATTATCAATTGCAAATCGACGTCCTCGACCACGTTGATATACCCCACTACAGAATTTCCAAAACCAGCGCCGTACTGTCCGAACAGAAGTGGATCCTACACCCCATGCTTTGTTAATGCTGACAGCAGTTCGAGAAGCATTATGACTAAGTTGAAATCGTGCAAAAGTCTAATCACTTCTCTTCTTTTTTCATGTTTTCAAGATGACAGGTTTTAAATTAAATTCTGAAAGAGATTGATATGAAATTAACAAAGAGGATATTTAATCATTAGGAACGAGTAATATATTTTTTGCAACTGTTATAATAATATATAAGAACGCAATTAAAATGTTTATTTTAAAATCGGTCATTATTTTCCGAACAACCTAATACTATTTCTCAGTGTATACACAGAGTGCGTCACGTATTTGAGAGCAAAATTCTGAAAAAGATTTATATTAAATTAACAAAGAGGACATTTTAATCATTAGGAACGAGTAATATATTTTTGCAACTATTATAACAATTAATTAGAACACAATTAAAAGGTTAATATTGAAAAGTAAGAAAT